TCATCTTCAGGGACGATTTCAACTCTCTCAACACGGCCAACTGGAAATATGAGGTGTCCATGTTTGGTGGAATGGTGAGTGTCCATGTTTGGTGGAGTGTTGATTGTCCATGTTTGGTGGAATGATACGTATCCATGTTTGGTGGAATGGTAAGTGTCCATGTTTGGGGGAGTGTTGGGTGTCCATGTTTGATGGAGTGTTGAGTGTCCATGTTTAATGGAGTAGTAAGTGTCAATGATTGGGGGCACAGTAAGTGTCCATGTTTGGTGGAATGGTGAGTGTCCATGTTTGGTGGAATGGTAGGAGCCAACGAACGACAGAACTGACGGTGTTATTACTAGTTCAATGTTTTTGAAAGTGTTTAATTTAAATAAGCGATTAGTTATAAAAGTGTTTAATTTGATTAGTCAATAGTAATTAAAGTATTTAGTTTCATTGGGCAATAGTTAGGAAGTGTTTAATTTGATTGGTCAATAGTTATGAAAGAATTTAATTTGAAAAAAAGGCCAATGAATTTATTGTATTTTTTCATTCAACATAGCTAGACAAGAAAACTAATTTTTTATTAAAAAAACATGTCATTATTTATATTTTTATAGAACTGGGAATTCCAAGTGTACACCCCTGAAGCCAGAAATACTTTCACAAGAAATGGAGTCCTTTATCTCAAGCCTGTAAGTAGGAGAAAAGCTTATTTAGAAAAAGATGTATATCATGGTAATAAAATGGTATCTCCGAGNGGGGGGGGGGGGGGGTTCTAAGATAAGGGGCGGTTTCCTTTGTGCTAGTCTCCATTGTGTCTACGCTATTTGTCGCGGCATATGCCGTATCTAGGTGAGACTAGACGCCGCATCTCTGACAGATGTAATGAACATCTCCGTCATTTTGCTCAATAAAAGAAGTGTCTCATCTCAAGAATCTTCAAAAGAAGCGACCACAAGGGTTCATTTGATTTTTTTTATCACCGCCAATGTGTCTTGTACAGACACACCAAAAACCCATTGAATTTGGAAAACAAACTGATTTCGACTTATAGAACAATCAATGTGCGTCATCCTATTTTTGTAACGCATACACACATACATACATATACATATATATTATATATATAAATAAATAAATATATATATATATATATATAATTTCACTAGACATCCTAATTTGTCTAACCCAGAGATAATTAAATTTTCTACAGACCCCAACAACAGATGACCCAAGATTTGATGAGAACTTCCTTCACCACGGCACTATGGATGTGGCTCGTAAGTTATATGTGAATAACTGCTGTAGGAATTTGAGAAAGCTATTTCAAAACTTCAAAACGTTTAATTTTTTTTTTCAAACTCGGGAATTTAACATACGTTGAAATTAACACTTTTACATTGAAAATATTGAAACTGTAAAATTATTTTAAAAGAATTTTTTTTTATTTCTAACGCTTCAACATCTTCAGTTAAAAAAATATATGTATTGAAATTTTGTAAAGTTTCATTTCTTTTTTTAGAAGATGAGAAAATGTAAACATTGTTTTATATCGTTTTTATTAATACTTGGGTTTCAAATGTAATTTCATTGTAGTCTCTGCAACGCTCGGTTAAATACCCGACTCTTTCAGTAGTTAAATCCCTTGTTTAACTTAGTCACTCATGAATCTAGAAATCTGGGGATATTGCACCAACAATGGCAACTACGGCTGCACCAGAGAAGGGCAGTACGGCCTCCTGCCTCCCATCATGTCTGGCAAAATAACGAGTATACCTACCCTGAGGTACGGCATTGTGGAAGTCAGAGCCAAGATTCCCAAGGGAGACTGGATTTGGCCAGGTAAACCGTCACAATGTTTTGTGTATTTTGTTTTTATGTTTAGTGTTGGTTGAAAATAAAGATTACGCAATTATTGCAATTATTTGTTTGCCTTTTGCGATGAAAATTTTCTTGAGCAGTTACCCAATTCTTTTCCCTTTTTACGATTATTACAAAGCATTCGTTACTTTTAACTGTACCTTGAACAAAAACCAGAATAAGTATTCAACCTTGAAAATCTAAATCCATTTTGATATGTGCATGCACACAGCACGTGGAAACTAAATTAAATATTTTGCATGGCGACGAAGAGAGTTTATTCCAACAGTCATTGATCTCTATGTACTTCTATATACTCAGCCATTTGGATGATGCCAAAAGACAGTGCTTATGGCGGCTGGCCTCGTTCTGGTGAAATTGACATCATGGAATCCAGAGGTGCGATTATTATTTCCATTAACAGTATTTTAAGATGAGATTGTTCCAGATTCACATTTTAAAAAAAAAATTATGTTATTAAGTATGAAAATTTTATTTTTGTTACAGTTAAAGATCTCAATGTATAGTTGCTATACAGTCGCTGATGTATCGCAATTGTTAAACTAAAACAATGATATAGAATAAAAAAACCTAAGAGACTTTGAAAGCTGATAAAACTGTTGAAGGCGTACACAAAAGGATCCATTTTTTTAATTATTATTTTAAATTATTTTTCTTTGATGTGTGTTCATATTTAGAATACATTTGACTAATTTTAAAAACACCGGTTAGACATTGCTATATTTTCGACTTTTAAAAAGATTATTTGCGTTCTGTACGTAGTGTCATGTCTTAAGCCAACTGCAGCAGTCCACTTTATGTTTCTATAATCATACGCCACACTTCCGGGCTACACCACAGGTAACAACGGTGACATCGGTGTTGGCACAGTCAGCAGCACTCTCCACTGGGGCCCAGCGTGGGACAACAACAAATACAGCCTGACACACGGTGAACAGTAAGTCATTTCTTATCCTTTTGTTTGCGACTACTGGGGGGGGGGGAGCGGGGGTTCCTGGGGGGCACTTCAGCCCATGTACGGACCTGGCCTGCTTCACCACATCCTTCCATTCGGAGCAACGGTGAACAGTAAGTCATTTCTTATCCTTTTGTTTGCGACTACTGGGGGGGGGGAGCGGGGGTTCCTGGGGGGCACTTCAGCCCATGTACGGACCTGGCCTGCTTCACCACATCCTTCCATTCGGAGCGATCCATGGCTTTCCGCCTCCATGTGCGAAACTGGTTTAATATGTCCTGTCGAGAGCAGTCTGCCTTTTTTTTTATTTGGTGCGACTATGTGTGGGTACAGTAGCTAAAGCTCTTGGTTTGTATGGATTCTCTAGACACTGGCTAACGTTTTAAGTAATGAAAAGGTTTAAATTACAAAATCATTGCTGTTGTCTTATCCAAAAAAAAAATGAATGTCTTTAAGCATCCTATTCCTAAGTTCCATCTAAAACAAAAAGTCACCCAATTATTCACTGACCATTCTAGGAAAAGTGGGTCATGGCACGATAACTACCACACCTATAAACTGGAGTGGACACCTGACCATCTGTCGTAAGTAAACAATTTAGTTTTAACACTAATGTCCATTATGTATCCTGGTTGCTGGTCATGGCGGCTCACATTGTGCACACTTAAGTACATCATAAAACAACCCTTTCAAACAAAGTTTTTCGTCTAAATACTTTATGAAATGTAATAATTGAGCAATGGCGGTGGAGAATGAAAATTTGTCAAAAACAATCATACCAGTAACGGACTTTATAAGAATCCCAATAATGCCCAGTTCTTTCGCGCCCCTGAACCATCTAATATTCTAATGCCCCACCATTCTAATACACCACAGATTTATTTCATCAACTATTTCAGACAAACAAAAGAAAAAAAAAATCACGCATCAAACGCACTTGCGGGATAGGGGTGTGATTAAAAATGTGGTAGTATGTCTTGTCATTGGCAACGAGTCTATATGCCAAGTTTCAGCTCGATTGGTGGACGCGAAGTCGGTCAGTTAGACATCAGAATTGTTTTTCCTTAACAAAACAAAATTGAAGTTAATATAAAAGATTGAACAATTGCTGATTTTTTGTATGCATTATTATTGCAAACATTTCACCAATTCACATGCTGAGACACTATGACAAACATCATCTCAATTTCGAGTTAAAACAGAGTTGGATGTGACGTATACCAAGGAAACATTTTCGACTATTTAAACCTGTTTTATTTCACAGAACATTCGTAGACAACGTTAGAATTATGGAAGTGCTTCCTGGAGCGAACTTCTGGCAGAAAGGTGGATTCACGGGTCCAAACATCTGGTCAGGTGGCGAGAAGATGGCGCCATTCGACAAAGACGTAAGAGTGACATTTTCATTCCCTCCCCTTTTGATACATAATCTTTGCTGATATTTTGTATTTTAATTTGTCTAATTTTAATATGTTGTATTGGTGAGGATATTTATCCATGTGCTGAAAATGTTTACGCACAACGTCATGAGAACACATTTTCTTATATTTGATTCAATTTTAAACAATTCCTAAAAGAAATGTTTTTCCTAATATAAATCCTGTACATGCATTTTTAATTATTTTATTTGACATCAATGTTTTAATGTCTCACCCGTTTTTACATCGCAGATTTATTTCACCAACTATTTCAGAAAACAAAAAACAAAAAAATTGCGCGCCGAGCGCATTAGCGCAGATGAAATAATTAAATAATTTATATCGTTTAGCGCAGTTATTCGAAATTTTATTTCGTGAACTCAGTGTCGTCGTATTTCCTTCGTCTGTCCCAAGTAAAAACAGAAGAAAAAAACGTTTATTTAGGGGGTTGTGGTTGGGGATTGTTGGCCTAAAAATATGTGCTGTCATCGGTAACACGTCCATATGCAAAGTTGCAGTTCGATAGGTTCACGAGAAGTAGGTCGATTAGCCGTCCGAAGATATTTTTTCCTTCACGCACACGTCAAGCTAACATGAAGTTTTATTTAAAAATGTATTTTCCGATACTTATATTTTTCAAAACGAAGTGCGACAGGGTCACGGTAAACTTAATTCTCGAGACCATATTAACGTCCCTAAATATCCAGGATATATTTTGACGATTTTAAACGCGTCCTCTGATTTGTTGTGTCCGTTGTCTTCAGTTCTACATGATCTTCAATGTCGCCGTCGGAGGCACCAATGGTTTCTTCCCCGATGGCATCAACTACGGAGTCAGGAAGCCATGGGCCAACAACTCTCCTCACGCCGCTGAAGATTTCTGGAATGCGCGCAACGAATGGCTCCCGACCTGGCAAGGGGACGAGGCGGCCATGTTGATTGACTGGGTCGAGTTCAGACATTTGTAAACTATGTATATTTTTTAAATACATACCTTTTTTTTTTAAAGGAATTCTTTCGTTTGCACTTATTTTTTCTTGAAAATTTTGAGATCGATCCTGTCCTAATCCCATATCGATCCTGTCCTAATCCCATATCGATCCTGTACTAATCCCATATCGATCCTGTACTAATCCCATATCGATCCTGTACTAATCCCATATCGATCCTGTACTAATCCCATATCGATCCTGTACTAATCCCATATCGATCCTGTACTAATCCCATATCGATCCTGTACTAATCCCATATCGATCCTGTACTAATCCCATATCGATCCCGTACTAATCCCATATCGATCATGTACTAATCCCATAACGTTACTTTTTCTTTATTGAGATGATAAGTTATATAAGTGACCCAATGAACTTATGACATTTTGCTGCCGGCAAATTTATCCATAAACTCACGCCCAATAATTATCTTTAATTAAAAGTTTATAAATTAATACCAACAACAAAGAACCCAATAAAAAGTGTCGAATTTGATTCTCTTGATCTTTCTAAAAACCCGTTGTTGTTGTTTTTATCTGGATAAAGACCAATTTTCTTTTAATTTCATAATGGCGATATGTAGTAGAGCGCTAGTTGATGCAGTCATTCGATTTCAATAAAGATGGGGGATTTTTAAATATCAACATTAGGTGACACTCTCGCTTTCCCAAAGCTGAAGTGAGAGAGAACTTATTGAACCGAACCGGAGACACATGCAGGTGGCGCCACTACCTCCATTTCGTGTTGAATGACTGTGCAGCCAAAAGTATTATTAATCATCAATACATTGGACACGAAGATAAAGCTTAAGACATATGATAAGCTTAAGAAACGATGATAAGCTTTCAAGACTCAACTATCACTCAGACAGGCTGATAGGTGATGTTTCGTTAGGGGTGTGATAAAGTTTATATATGGGCTTCGTAGGACAAAATCCACATAGCCTGGGATTATTATACTTGAAGGATTATAAGCTGGTTCCCAACAGCAAATCGCCTCTCGATATATATATACACACACACACTATCAGAAACTTGAGACCATCATACTGCTTGAGATTTTAAAATGAAACTGTCGCTGTATGCAAAACAAGATAAGAAATGTATTTAAACCTCATGTTAGTTGCTAATATTTCATCTTCATGACCTGATCATCTGTTGTTGAAGGGAGATTCTCTCTGGGTCAATGTTCGAAACATAAAAAGTGTGTTTTTAAATAAAAAAAAAAAGGAAGAGTTTTTTTTTTTTTTTTTAATTTTTTTTTTTTTTTTTGAAGAATAATTAAATCTAAGTTATATTTACGGGAGAAAATTTGTAAAGAGATCGTGGACTCAATAAGATGGATGAGCGTGACACGCCCTTTCTTGTGCTGGATTGTATTGTGAGGTGGTAGCTCCTTGACAACCCTAGCTACTTCCTGATTTCTCAAACGTTTCTTGTGCAGTTGTTGCTTACACTCTATTCTTCTTGACCGGGCCCTTATGATAGGTTGCTTATGTCCCAATCGATCTGAAAAGTTATCTTTTTGATCATGGTCATGGTTGCTTGCACGACCTCATTCATTCCGTGCGGTTTTGTTCTGCGTAAGTCCAAAAAAAGTAGAGATAAGTAGGTCACCTTGACAGGGGAAACGTGGTCACCTTCGCAGGGGAAACGGGGTCACCGTTGCTTGGAAAGATGAGGATCCCCGTGATTAGGGAATTTGATCACCCACAACATATCACCCACCCACTTCACACTGGTGGCCCCAGTGTTTTAAATAGCACCCACAACATATCACCCACCCACTTCACATTCGTGGTCCCAGTGTTTTAAATAGCACCCACAACATCTCACCCGCCCACTTCATATTGGTGGTCCCATTGTTTTAAATAGCACCCACAACATATCACCTACCCACTTCACATTGGTGGTCCCAGTGTTTTAAATAGCACCCACAACATATCACCCGCCCACTTCACATTGGTGGTCCCAGTGTTTTAAATAGCACCCACAACATGTCACCCGCTCACTTCAAATTGGTGGTCCCAGTGTTTTTAATAGCACCCACAACATATCACCCACCCACTTCACATTGGTGGTCCCAGTGTTTTAATAGCACCCACAACATATCACCCACCCACCTCACATTCGTGGTCCCAGTGTTTTGAACAGCACCCACCACATATCACCCGCCCAATTTAAATAGCACCCACACCATGTCACCCGCCCCCTTCAAATTGGTGGTCCCAGTGTTTTAAATAGCACCCACAACATATCCCCCACCCACTCCCCATTGGTGGTCCCAGGTTTTTAATAGCACCCACAACATATCACCCACCCACTTCACATTGGTGGTCCCAGTGTTTTGAACAGCACCCACAACATATCACCCGCCCACTTCACATTGGTGGTCCCATTGTTTTAAATAGCACCCACAACATATCACCCACCAACTTCACATTGGTGGTCCCAGTGTTTTAAATAGCACCCACAACATATCACCCACCCACTTCACATTAGTGGTCCCAGTGTTTTAAATAGCGACCACAACATGTCACCCGCCCACTTCATATTGGTGGTCTCAGTGTTTTGAACAGCACGCACAACATATCACCCGCCCACTTCACATTGGTGGCCCCACTGTTTTGAACAGCACCACAACATATCACCCGCCCACTTCACGCTGGTGGCCCCACTGTTTTGAACAGCACGCACAACATATCACCCGCCCACTTCACGCTAGTGGTCTCAGTGTTTTGAACAGCACACACAACATACCACCCGCCCCCTTCACATTGGTGGCCCCACTGTTTTGAACAGCACCACAACATATCACCCGCCCACTTCACGCTGGTGGCCCCACTGTTTTGAACAGCACGCACAACATATCACCCGCCCACTTCACGCTGGTGGCCCCACTGTTTTGAACAGCACCCACAACATATCACCCGCCCACTTCACGCTGGTGGCCCCACTGTTTTGAACAGCACGCACAACATATCACCCGCCCACTTCACACTTTTAAAAGGTCAATCATCATGTTATTAGCAGCAACCCTTGCGGTGTCAAACCTGTTAAATCCACTGAGAAATCAATACAAAGAGATTGCCGAGTGTTCATCTTAAGTTTAAGAAATAAAAGATGTCCGCCACATCACAATTTCCAATCGTATTTGATATAAAATAATATTTGCAGTTTTGAACCTTGCAAATATATTTTAGTAGAGGCTTCAGTTCGTCTCTTTTTCAATCTTTCATAGCCTTTCAATCCATAATTCACGACGGGCCACTCTGGGATTGTTATTTCTGTTAATTCTGGGAATGTTGAGGGTATCACCATCTCTGGCGTTGAGGATATCACCATCTATGGTGTTGAGGGTATCACCATCTCAGGTGTTGAGGGTATCACCATCTCTGGCATTGAGGGTATCACCATCTCTGGTGTTTAGGCTAACACCATCTCTGGCGTTGAGGGTATCACCACCTCTGCTGTTGAGGGTATCACCATCTCTGGTGTTGAGGGTATCACCACCTCTGCTATTGAGGGTATCACCACCGCTGGTGTTGAGGGTATCACCACCTCTGCTATTGAAGGTATCACCACCGCTGGTGTTGAGGGTATCACCATCTATGAGTTCTCATAAGGGTTTTTATTAAATTCATATATTTGTCATATTTAGAGATGTTATTTGCCAATGAAAACTTGAAGCAGCCTTATCATTATGTATAGTGGACCTCTAGAAGTTCACATACACTGTCTTGGCTTGGCTCTGATGAGTAAGTCAGTAAGAAGACTAAAACGTTTTCAATTTATAATATAAAAATGAAGTGACAACGCTGCCCCCCCCCCCCAGGGCGTCCATTTAAAACTATCAAGTATTTTCTTTTACCGGTATGTGGTGCGCCTTTGGTAGTCTCTAAGAAATGTATTTGGCTCGTCTTGTTGATATGGGTAACACATCAATTTGTACACAGTGGGCGTCAGCAGGATTGTTGTCAAGTGGTGCGGTAATGTCATCGTGACCTGACACCCCCCACCCTCCATCCTTGAGGCTTCCTATTTAACCGCCTCCAGCATCTGGTGATGACATGATCTGGTGACAACAACATCTGGTAATACCATGATCTGGTGACAACAACATCTGATGATATCATTAACTGGCAGCGCGATTGTGAAATTAAATGACTTCTGTCAAGAAACGGCCTCAAATCGAACCCTATAAAATTTGGAATCATCCAGTTAGTGTCAACACCCCCCGCAACTCACCCCACCTCACCCCCCCCCTAACATCTGTGCTCTCAATATCATCCTCCATCGTCTTAAATTGATCGTTCACTGTAATTTGATTTCGGCCCTACTGTCAACTATTGTATTATCAAAACATCTATCACAACACGATAAGTGTTTTTTATGATGAGGCTTGAGTTAATGAAAAGCTTTAGAATTTAGGACTAGCCATCGCCTTTCAGGCAATACTTTGCTTTGTGATATCGATTGATGGCGTCTTGTTAAATGTATGTTATGATATGACTTCTTGTTAACTTTTTTGTAATGATATGTCTTCTTGTTAACTGTATGTTATGTGACTTCTCGCTAACCTTATATTATGATATGACTTCTTGTTAACTTTATTTAATGATATGTTTTCTTGTTAACTTTATTTAATGATATGACTTCTTGTTAACTTTATTTAATGATATGACTTCTTGTTAACTTTATTTAATGATATGACTTCTTGTTAACTTTATTATATGATATGACTTCTTGTTAACTTTATTTAATGATATGACTTCTTGTTAACTTTATTATATGATATGACTTCTTGTTAACTTTATTTAATGATATGACTTCTTGTTAACTTTATTATATGATATGACTTCTTGTTAACTTTATTTAATGATATGACTATTTTGCTTACTGGAAGTAATCATATGCCCTGTTGCTTACTACAAGTAAAGATATTAATTTATGCCTATTTAACGTAATGATATGACTTTTCACTTAAAGTAATTATATTACCTCTAAATTTCTTAATTTAATGACATGACATTTCGCTTACTTTATGTTAAAGTAAGACTTCCTGCTGACCTTTTTAATGATATGACTTCCTGCTGACCTTTTTAATGATATGACTTCCTGCTGACCTTTTTAATGATATGACTTCCTGCTGACCTTTTTAATGATATGACTTCTTGCTCACTTTATGTTATGATCAGACTTCTTGCAGACTCTTTGTAATGATCAGACATCTTGCAGACTCTTTGTAATGATCAGACTTCTCGCTGACTCTTTGTAATGATCAGACTTCTTGCTGACTCTTTGTAATGATCAGACTTCTTGCTGACTCTTTGTAATGATCAGACTTCATGCTGACTCTTTGTAACGATCAGACTTCTCGCTGACTCTTTGTAATGATCAGACTTCTCGCTGGTTCTTTGTAATGATCAGACTTCTCGCTGGCTCTTTGTAATGATCAGACTTCTAGCTGACTCTTTGTAATGATCAGACTTCTCGCTGACTCTTTGTAACGATCAGACTTCTCGCTGACTCTTTGTAATGATCAGACTTCTTGCTGACTCTTTGTAATGATCAGACTTCTTGCTGACTCTTTGTAATGATCAGACTTCATGCTGACTCTTTGTAATGATCAGACTTCTCGCTGACTCTTTGTAATGATCAGTTTTCTCGCTGACTCTTTGTAATGATCAGACTTCTCGCTGACTCTTTGTAACGATCAGACTTCTCGCTGACTCTTTGTAACGATCAGACTTCTCGCTGACTCTTTGTAATGATCAGACTTCTCGCTGGTTCTTTGTAATGATCAGACTTCTCGATGACTCTTTGTTATGATCAGACTTCTCGCTGACTCTTTGTAATGATCAGACTTCTCGCTGACTCTTTGTAATGATCAGACTTCTCGCTGACTCTTTGTAATGATCAGACTTCTCGCTGACTCTTTGTAATGATCAGACTTCTCGCTAAACGTTATATTTTTATTTCATTTATGAAGATTTTGTGTGGTGACTGCTCAAAATCATTTGTAATGTAAACATTTTAAAGTGATGACTTCTCCAGCCTTCTTTTTCATATGAACATTTTTTTATATATTTTAAGAGCAACATCCTCTGCGATTTAAGAGCAACATCCTCTGCGATTTAAGAGCAACATCCTCTGCGATATGAACATGTTCTTGGTGTGCATGAAAGACATCTTTCTTAAAATGATTGTTGTACAGCCTTGTACACATCTTCTTAAAATGATTGTTGTACAAAATTTACACATTATCTTGCAATCATTGTTGAACAGCATTGTACACATGTTCTTCAAATAATTGTTGTACAAAACTTACACATTATCTTACAATCATTGTTGAACAGCATTGTACACATGTTCTTAAAATAATTGTTGTACAAAACTTACACATTATCTTACAATCATTGCTGAACAGCATTGTAGACATCTTCTTAAAATGATTGTTGTACAACATTGTACACATGTTCTCTAATGTGTATTTGCAGATTTTATTGGACATTATTGTATTTTTTTTTTTAATTTGCTCAATTTAAATAAAGTGTATACCCTTTAAACAAGATCAAGATAAAAAGTTTGACCTCTTAACAAGGTCAAGATAATTGTAAACATTTTATCAAGATCAATATCAATGGTATACCTTTTATAAAATCAATGTAAATTGTATACCTTTAATCAACTTCTATATAGATTGTATACTTTTTAAACAATATTAATATAAATGGTACACTTTTTATGAAGATTATTTTAAATGGTATACGTCTTATCAAGACGAATGTGAATTGTATACCTTTTGTGAAGTTCAATATAAATGGTATACCTTTTATGAAGATCTATATAAATGGTATACCTTTCAAACAAGATCATGATCAATTGTACACCTCTTTACTAAAATCAAGATAATTTATATTCCCTTTAAACAAGATCAAGAAAAAATATATACCTTCTAAAAAGATCAAGATAATTTGTATAACTGTAAAAACAAAATGAAGATAGCGTGTAAAGCTATTTTAAAGAAGATCAGAATAAATTTTAGGCTATAGATATTATTTTTTTCATTTCAAGAAATACACTAGATTGTTCTCGAATTTTTTTATCAAGATTTAAGCAATATCTTTGTGAATAGAAATGTCTATATTTGACATTTTAATAGATTTTCCTCCAAATTTAAACACCAGCTGTTAGCTAGAGACGTCAAGTCATTCATTTGAAGTTGTTGGGCAGTAGGCTCCGCTGGTTTGAAATTTGTGCCGCCCGTTTCCATATATATCTTTAACGTGTGCTTTGGGTGAGTATTATGGACTTGGCTAGAGAATCTCTTTGACGCCACCGAATGAACATAATATATGTTCAAATACTGGACGGTACATCTGAATGACTTTAAGGTTGTTGTTTTAAGCAGATCTATGGCAGATGTCAAGATTCATACTTTTTTTTTTATTATTTAGTTTCGAGTAATAGTTTGTGTTTTTATTATTAACCCTCAAATAATATATATGTAATTTTTTATATATATTTTTTTTTGCCCAACAACTTCTTTCTCTATGATCAAACGAATGCTCACGCAGCTGTGCATGGGGATGGACTTGAAGAATCCCGGCCCGGTACTGTCAGGGCCGCATTGACCGCTTCCACGTTGCATAGTTTGAGATTGAAGTACCTACTTAGGGATTTTTGTACAGGATCGTATGGAAACTCAAGTCAACCCCTGACTGAGGACTTAACCAATATTTATTTCATTTTAATATTAAAACTAGCTTGAAATTAAAAACGAAATTGAGGGCATGGGGGGGGGGGGGACGGCGTTGACACATACTCTAGACTTTTTGAAACCCCCCGGCCTGGGATAGCGGTTGTTATAAGCTGGTTNAATTAAAAACGAAATTGGGGGGGTGGGGGGGGGGGGGACGGCGTTGACACATACTCTAGACTTTTTGAAACCCCCCGGCCTGGGATAGCTGTTGTTATAAGCTGGTTGGCAGTCTTCGCACCAATCCATAAGCTGGTTGGCAGTCTTCACACCATTACATAAGCTGGTTGGCAGTATTCACACCACTACATAAGCTGGTTGGCAGTCTTCACACCACTACATAAGCTGGTTGGCAATCTTCACACCGATCCATAAGCTGGTTGGCAGTCTAAAACCAATCCATAAGCTGGTTGGCAGTCTTTACACCAATCCATAAGCTGGTTGGCAGTCTTCACACCACTCCATAAGCTGGTTGGCAGTCTTCACACCACTAAATAAGCTGGTTGGCAGTATTCACACCACTACATAAGCTGGTTGGCAGTTTTCACACCGATCCATAAGCTGGTTGGCAGTCTTCACACCACTCCAATTAACTTTAACTAATCTTAATCACAAATCTTTTTTGTTGGTTTAAAAAAGTATATTCTAAAGATGCTTCAAATTTACTTTTTAATGAAAATAATCAATTTTGTTGTAATGATCTAAGTGACGCGTCGACCATGGAAAGATTTCAAATACTTCCAGTGCTTGCTCTTGGTCTGCACCTCATCTGCGGCCTTTCAGCTTGTAAGTTTTGTTTTCTTATCATTTATATATATATTTATTTATATATATATATATATATATATATATATATATATATATATATATATATAATTTATTTATATATACGTAATAGATATATATTTTTAAAATTGTATATTTAAAACGCATCACAAATACATGTCGTTGCCTGGATTGTTAGAATTAACAAGTGTGAGAACTTTCGGTGGTTTTAGTAGTTCAGCCTTGCCTCTCTTCGTCGCAAAATTTTTCATTTAATATACATACTCATTTATTTTCGTTATTTGTTTTATTTTTCTTACTTACGATTTTAAGTACTTTGACTTCAAGTACTCTGATTTAAAGTAATTTTATTTTAAGTACTTTAATTTTAAGTACATTGAATTTAAAAATAAATTCCCCTTTATTATTTTAAATTGATTTCTTCTTGTACCTCTCGAAGTGGATTGTAATGATCTCAAGTGGCGAGAGAATCCTGTGGATGTGTTTGAAGTGAAAGCAAATTTCGCTCTGGATTGTGGAAAAAATTCTGCACCTGATCTTAAGTAATAATTTTCATACATTTGCTGACTTTTTTATTGTTAATTCTATCTGCATTGTTCATTATGTGTCACTTTGACTGACACTTATAAATTTATATACCATCCGTACAAACAAGAGTTATACCAATAGTACAAAGACCGACCCCTAGTCGCGACAATAAAAAGGCAGACTGCTCTGGGCAGCACATATTGAAAGGATGCTGAATTGTAAAGCAACAAAATAGATATACGGGCAGAAACCTGGGGGCAGACGGCTCGCCAGTCGTCCAAAACTGAAATGGATCAGGAATGTAGAGAAGGTTTTACACCAGCTGGGGGTTCGCGGATGAAGGTGGACAGCCTTGGATTGATCCGAACGGAAGGATGTGGTGGAGTAGGCCAGGGCCCTACACCGGCTGTAGCGCCACTAATGATGATGATGACTTCATCGCAAATGTTGTTTGAAGCATAATTTAAACTTTTAAATTATTCGTTATTTTGATGAAATATTCTGTTGTTTTTTTAAAGAGTTGACAAATATGTATGAATTTTTATGTAGTAAATTCATTTCAACCTTAAAAGTTGTTAAAATAGTTATACCTTTTATGCTGTGGTCAAGAGAGGAGGGGACACGAAAAGTTACTGACATAGATTGGACTTAGTTTGACAAGCCAATGATAAAAACCAAAGCAAAAACTGACAAAGTGGTCAGAGAGATTGCTTGAGAGTGCTGGTAGCTTCACAGGGCGAAAACTCTCGCAGCCGAGTAGACAGTAGACGCCATGTTCTTTTGTTGCTGAGCGGTCCGGAAAACGATCAAACATTTGATAAAAATAACTTTACAAGAGTGTTATCAGTTTGCGTAAACTGGATGTTGCTGGGTGAGGCCAGGGCGATGAAAGAGTCCGACGTTCAGACAACATTGTATGGCATCGCCAAACAGATGGAGGTGGTTGCAATCTACTAGCCTGGGCTGTTGCCACTCTACTAGCCTGGGCTGTTGCCAAACAGATGGAGGTGGTTGCCACTCTACTAGCCTGGGCTGTTGTCAAACAGATGGGCCTGGTTGCCGGTATACTAGATTTAATTGTTGCCAAACAGATGGAGGTGGTTGCCACTCTACTAGCCTTGGCTGTTGCCTGCCAAACTGATGGAGCTGGTTGTCGATGTACTGGCCTGGGCTGTTAAAAGCTTCAGCTCAAGCTCCAGCCAGAATATGTACACCAAAAGTGTAGTAGATAATTTCACTTGACAACAACAGCGATGTATAATGTATATGTAGATGTTTAAATTAACATTGAATGTAGTAGCGCATAACCATGTAGCCAACTCAAGGAAAACAATCTTCCAGGTACACGTGGACCAAGGAGGACAAACCTGTTATTGAAAGCTCTACTGTTAAATCTCGTGGACCTACTGTGCAATTCTTAAACTTTTCTGAGTCAGATGAGGGCCTGTACAAGTGTTATGGACTGAGTCCTCACTCTAAAGGCTTGGATACTAAGACACTCTTACGAACCATCAGGCTACGCCAACCTCGTATGTTCTTTAAGAATTAGCATGCGCCTAATTTTGTCTAATCCATTAAACCAATTCTGTACGCCCCCCTCCACCCAAAGCAACGCACACAAGCCAAATGCACATGATAATAAATAGAGTCGTAGTTTGAATACCGGTACTTTGGAAAAAATGTTATTGTGAATTTTAATCTAATCGTGCAAATAAAATAGTGTATAAATAATTATTTTTAAAAGGCATCAGTTTTATTGAAATTTCGGAAAGAAATTATTTTAAAACTACAGCGTGGTGCTGTTGCCGTGCCTTCAATGATTTCTTGTACAAGTACAACGAAGTTGTGTTGTTGTTGTTTTTGCCCATCAGCATTTTGTACCCCAAGGGCTCAGCAAACTTGCTTCAAAATGTATGAATGTGTGACTGTTAGCGAAGGTACCCGGATTTACATGTGATTGCCCCGAGCTTTGTACCCCACGGGTTCAGTAAACTTGCTTGATTGCCTCGAAATCAATCGAATAAACGTGTTCCCGTCTCCTCTTTATAGCTAGAGTGCCGCCTTTGACTAGCAAGCACAAAATTTGCATTAAAGTTAGTGGATACGAAGCTCTGTTAAGTGGTAAAGGTGCGACTAAGAAGTTATTTTTTTTTTTATTTTTTTTTTATTTTGCATCTAAATGCGGGAAATTCCTGCAAGGGCTTTGTGAGCAATGTTTGGTCACTTAATCAGATGGGTCAGCTTCAACGGACTGTGAACTCACCAGTGTCACGCCAATTTCTTTATATTCTAAAGACAATGAAACCAAGTGATTAGATTTGTATGTTAGTTTTCGGGGTCAGTCGTAATTTCGCAACGATTTTTTAGCTGTCATCGAATGTAGACCCTGGTCTAGTCCATCAAATGTAGACCCTAGTCTAGTCCATCGAATTTAGGTTCTGGTGTAGTCCATCGAATGTAGACCCTACCCATGTCAATCGAATATAGACTCTAGTCTAGTCCATCGAATGTAGAACCCAGTCTTGACAATCGAATGTTGACTCTGGGCTAATGTTTTTTTCCCCTAACTTTTAAGCGTGGTTGACCTGTCCACAATACCAGTAGAAGATATATTCTTCTTCTTCTTCTATATCTTAAGGGCCCACGATCAATTTAAGCATATAATCTCCATAAATAAATAAATAATAAATAAGCATACATTTTAAACACTGTAATTATTCATGTTAATGCGGACCTGCAACCAATGGCTCGCGGTCCGGTGCCTGTATGCGGGCCATCATCGAAGTGAAGGATGCCCTAGGGTTTTTGAAATGGTCTGTAATATTAAAAGAATAAATTCCTGCAAATTGTTTATCGTTATAACATTATTACTTGTTATTTTTTCTTTATTTTGTATATGTAGCTTTAGTGAGATTAAAAACTTCAGTCTTGGTAGAGGTCACCGATAGATGCAAAAATATGTAACAGTATATTTTTTTTTAACATGACTCAATTTAAGATTTAGTGTGTTCCTAATGACGTCCATTGCATTCAAATACACATTCATGTGTAAACTATTTTTATTTAGTAATAAACAAACATCAAACGAGACATTTTCTACTAAATTATTTTTTTAAAATAAACATTCAGCCCATCTATATTTTTTAACACTTATAGCCAAATTATATGCGTCTTTAAAAAATGTTGCATACGTAATTTAACTCAAATGTCATGAGTTGACTGTGAAAGATTTGTTAAAATACCAATGCTGAACAAAAAAAATCATAATTATAGAAAAATAAAGACATTTTTTAAAATGCTTTATTTGATTAAAGAATAAATTACCATCAATTTAAAGGTTTTCTTACCATTTACCTATGACTGTATGCTACTCCCTGATATAAAACTGATATTTTTAGTATTTGATTACCTATGTTTTGTGTGCAATCCCAAAATTATCTATTCAGATTTTGCAGTCATCCCAAAATGACGGATTTTTTATTAAAATATTTCATGTCAGGACTTACAAAATTCATACGAAAAGGAAAAGAGGACCACACAGTTCGGGAGTACGACTACGTACGCTTGGACTGCAGCGACAAGGGTGTCATCATTGGCGATACTTTCGACTATAATTGGTACAGAAACTTCATCGTTCAGATACCTCACGAAAGTGAAAGAATGTATACTGATCTAACAGGTATCTATCTATCTAGAAGGCTCTTCACGTGTGGTAGGTAGGATAAGAAAGATTGGCTTTGTTATTTGAACGCTATGGTGTACCATGACCAGTAAAACAATAACACCTTGTTTTACACCAGAAGAGCGAGGCAAGCTTTATTTCGCCAAGCTCAGCTCCAGGTCCACTCTGAACATTTTTTGTTTAGATCCAGCTCCGCTCCAGGTCCACTCTGAACATATTTTTTTGTTTAGATCCAGCTCCGCTCCAGGTCCACTCTGAACATTTTTTTGTTGAGATCCAGCTCCGCTCCAGGTCCACTCTGGACATTTTTTTGTTTAGATCCAGCTCCGCTCCAGGTCCACTCCGGACAATTTTTTTTTAGCTCCAGCTCAGCGCCGAGCCTCTTCGAAATTAAACAAATAATATATTATATAAGAATGGGCTACACTGACATAACGCTAAAAGACACAAACTATTTTGGTACGTTAGGATTCTTAAAAACAATCATAGTTATGTTCTATTATTTGACGGAAATCGAATCAATTGACCTGCGCATAAAAATATTTTATATCCGTTCTTATTTTAGAAAAAAGTTTAATTATAATTATTATTATCATTATTATTATTATTATTATTATTATAAATTACAAATATCTTTAAACTAACAACTAATGAACTATTTTAAGCATTTTATCCGAATGTAAAAATATGGGAAAAAAAATATATTAATCAAACTGTTATGGTCTAAGAATTGCACCTCAATCACATTTATCGGGAAAACCCAAACATCTGTTATTCATAGTGCGTATTTTAGTGCGTTTTTAATATTGCGAAATAAAAATAAAATTAATTTGATCTCAATAATTACACAAATGACGCCATAACGCGATTTCCCTATTTTGGCCACAGCTCTAAGTATTTTTAAATATATTTTATAACCATGTGTGACAAAACTGATAATGTATTTTCCCCTTCTTGAAAGTAAACTTAATACATACTTTTTAAATTGCAAAAATTTTCTAAAATTAAATACAACTTTAGTTTTGTATTTTTAACATTTAATAAGTTTTTACTTTTATTCTTCCAAAAAAATATACTTATATGAAATTTATAAAGTAGTTAAAATTTTACCCGCTAAATATACTTTTAATACGAAAATACCGTTTAATGCAATCAGTGCAGCCAAACTACATATCCAAATAGCATTCACTAATGCACTTATCTTTCATCAAAATAAGAACAAAGTATGTGAAATGCAAAAATTTGTTTTTGCGTATAAGAAAAGGGGTTACAATACCGTGTATGATTTTATTAATTTTTTTGAAACTCAAGGTTTTTTGTAGGGGGGGGGTTGTTGTTTGTTTTGTTTGTTTGTTTGTTTGTTTGTTTGGTTGGTTGGTTTTTTTTTGTTTATTTTGGGGGGGGGGCGGGGGGCGGTGAAGAAGCACTACAATAGTTTCATTTGCTCATGGCAGCAAACGATGCGCCTTAGAATGAAAGTGACACATAATCAACCTTCCTAGGCATTTATATGTGGGGGATTTGTTTGTTTGTTTGGTTGGTTGGTTTTTTTTTGTTTATTTTGGGGGGGGGGCGGGGAGCGGTGAAGAAGCACTACAATAGTTTCATTTGCTCATGGCAGCAAACGATGCGCCTTAGAATGAAAGTGACACATAATCAACCTTCCTAGGCATTTATATGTGGGGGTTAGGAAATAGGGTGTGTACAATTTTAACGTGGGTGACCATTTCTTTAAATCCATTATCAATTAAGAAAGAGATGTTGCATTCTCATTTTACCCATTAACAAAACGTTATTACATTTACACAATTATACCAACCAATGTCAAAATCCAGTCATTTTCAATGAAAATTTAATTTTCAAAATAGAAATAGGTTAAGACTTTCGTAGATGATAGATAGATATAGATAGACGTAGATGAAAGATAGATGGATGGATGGATGGATGGATGGATGGATGGATGGATGGATGGATGGGTGGGTGGGTGGATGGATGGATGGATGGATGGATGGATGGATGGATGGATGGATGGATGGATGGATGGATGGATGAATAGGATAGGATAGGATAGAATAGGATAGGATAGAATAGAATAGGATAGGATAGAATAGGATAGGATAGTATAGGAAGGAAGGAAGAAAGGAAGGATGGGTGGATGGATGGATGGGTGGATGGATGGATAGTATGGATGGATAGTATGGATGGATAGTATGGATGGATAGTATGGATGGATAGTATGGATGGATAGTATGGATGGATAGTATGGATGGATGGATGGGATATGATTGGATGGATGGATTGATGGATGGGAGGGTGGGTGGGTGGATGGATGGATCGTTTGATCGATGGATCGATGGATAGACAGATTGCTTCCTTGAATAGCTGCGCAAAAGGTATCTTTTTTCGGTAAAACTATGTTTATACGTATATAAAATTTAATGTATGTATATATGTCCTGAATGCGCTCCAATACCATTCATACGATTGCGATAAATCTTTGTGAGTTGTGCATACGACAGTAAATTTGCCTGTATTACTACACACATTTTACAATATTCCGCTTGGGGCCCAAGGCCCTAAATTCTTATATTTTCTGTCATACTGTCAATGACAGTGTCATGAGCTAGATATAATTTCCGTACGCTTTCCTATGCCATTCATCCGATTGCGATCAAATTTTGGTAAATTGTTGTGCGCAAGCTGCAAATTATTTTGTTCTTATAGGAGCTATACACATATAATTTTAAACAGAGCTATTGCATGGGTGGATAAAATTGAATAAAATTCAAGCGGGATTTCCGTTTGTGTGACATAATAATTAAATTTCTGAATTAAAAACCATTTTACAGTTTTGCGTTTGGGGCCGGGGGTCCTTATTTTTTTATATATAAAGGGTGGATCAATCGCTATAAGTGTGTGGACTAAATTGTGAAAATCCATGCTTCTCCCGTTGACAGCTGTATGTGGCCTGCTCACGTTGACAGCTGTATGGGGCCTGCTCACGTTGACAGCTGTATGGGGCCTGCTCTCGTTGACAGCTGTATGGGGCCTGCTCTCGTTGACAGCTGTATGTGGCCTGCTCTCATTGACAGCTGTATGGGGCCTGCTCTCGTTGACAGCTGTATGGGGCCTGCTCTCGTTGACAGCTGTATGTGGCCTGCTCACATTGACAGCTGTCTGTTGCCTGCTCTCGCGTCGAAAAGCTTCTAATTTATTTTTGTACGCACCAGACGGAACAAAAAAAATTCTATTTGAAAATTACTTCAAAAACCTAATTATAACACTTTTTTCTTTGAGTGACATTGCAACGCATGCCGGGTTCTCGCTAGTTGTATAGATAATATTTTAGTTGGCGAAAGGGGAAATAAATTACATGTTCATTTAATTTTCTATTCCATTTTTATGATTATTATAAATAATTTATTTTGTAAAAGTGCGACACAGATTTTGTACTTACCCAATTTTTCGATTTAAAGAAAATCAAAACTCATTAATCTCTAACACCCAAAATTTAATTACGTTGTTTTTTTGTTTTTTTAAATAACTCCCTTGATGTCGTTGAAATATGTAAATCGTTTTAAGAGGGACACTATTCCATGTTCTGACAAGACAACGCTGTTTTAGTGGTTTCCTTCTCTTAGTATGCGTTCCAAATTTATGCAGAAAGACTTGTTATTTTACTTTCAAAGAATTGTAGATTATTACACATGAGAACTAAAAGGTGGACATAATGGTATTTATGTGTTAAAAAATGTCATAAAAAATGTCATACAACATAACCTTCATAGAAAGGTCATTATTTTTCAATAAAACCGGTGTTAATTATCTCTCCTTACTTGATCAAGTTGCTATGGGCCAGGCAACAAATAATCATACGTTTTAAATAAACAGTAAAATGACTGCGTTTCAGGAAATCTCCACATCACACCGGTTCTAAGTGAAGATGAAAGATTTGGCGGAAAGCCTGCAAAATTTTATTGCGGTGTAACAGACATGTGGAAGTTAAAACTCGGGTACTATGGAAATGACAATTACCTAACTGTGAAAAAAGTGCCAGGTACGTCCGGCTATAAATGTGCGTGTTGTATTTGTAAGTAAATTGACAGGCAAAGTACATTGCAGGTGTAGTTTACTCGTTAAAACATTTGATATTATCTCTCTTGCAGTTGCGTCCCAGTCCAAACCAATTCTGAAACACAAGAGCGAGCATGCGACAGCTCCCTTGTACAAGACTGCTAAACTGGAATGTGTCTTCTCTGGCTAGTAAGTCATGCTACTATTATAAGAACATCGTGTTTTTGTTCAGCAGGTTTTGTTCTTGAGAGCAATGCATCAATGCGTAGAATTATGATTCATAAATGCTGTACAGAAACACAACAGAAATATATTTATTAAGGAAATCATCATAAATCTCAGAAATGAAGATCTAATCTATATATATATATATTCCGGTTCTGGTGTGGCTGCTTCCATTTCTGGCTGCAGCCTAACCAGCTTGCTTCTTCCTTTTCGGAGTATTTGGTACTGAGATTATTCTCGTGGCTTTTCCTATGTGTTTTGTATTTTGTGACATAAATTTGGGTATGGAAATGGCGTTGTTATTGCTGTAATGTTTTAGCAGGAGCAGCAGTGATGGCGTAGTAATAGTTTGTTAGTAATAGAGTCTTTACTTTGTTTGATATAATGCGTCTGCGTTTGGTGCGTAATATTTTCTTGTTGGAAAATGAAATCGTCTCAATTTAAATATTATGTCATAAATATTTGGTTTAAAAAGGGTTGGGACATTTTTTTATATATTTTTTTTGCTGGCATCCGTCCGTCACAATGTGACGATGGAGTGGGCTTCGTAGGACGAAATCCACATAGCCTGGGATTATTATACTTGAAGGATTATAAGCTGGTTCCCAACAGCAAATCGCCTCTCTCCACGCCGCTGGGTAACCCAAGGGAACATCATTGGATGATACAGCTTGGCACCAGTGACGTCGAGGAGTTGTCGGAATGTTTCATTGTATCAATGTTATCCGCCTTTCGGGACTCCATCTCCGGGTTTGATTTCAGAGTTTCCTTCTCTTTGATGAGTTGCCGTCCAAGGTTAACGAGTCCCATCTACCCGGGGACATCAGAATATAAATATAGTTCGTAGGCGTGAAATAAAAATTGTGCAGTGACGTATCATGGATGGAAGGTGTGTAGCTAAAAATTGGGATTCTCCAATCGTAAATCTCAGACATCAGTGCAGAAAGTGATCGTTAAATTGATTCAATATTATTGTTGCATAAGTAAACCCCTTTATTTCAATATCATGGTTTGTTCTCGCCAAGTCGTTACCCGAGAAGGGATTCTAGTAGTAAATCTTCCTGATTTTAGAGTTAAATTACTTTAACTTTAATTCAAACACCATCTCTTGAAATTTTCATCGGAAAAATTACACACAACATATTGTTGATGTCATTGATTTTTTAAATAATTTTATCGTTAAAGTTCTTATTACAATCATCATTTCATCTTGTACAAGTCATGTAACACTAAGACGTAAACTAAGACCTAAACTTTTATCAATTGTTTTTTAACGATTGAAAGGATTTTTTTTTATTTTTTTTTTTGTTTCCAGCCATCCTAAAGTTGGTATGTCTGTCAAACAGTTGGTTCCTACCGAACGGTTCACCCGTGGTGCAGACTGGGGGCTGGGGATTCCAGAAATACAAGTTGTCGTTCAACAACAGGAGACTGTACATATTCGACGTCAGAGAAAGTGATGGCGGAGTGTACCAGTGCCAGGCTGAAAATGGGGTAGGCGTGTCGACCAGAGAAGATGTTCAACTGGAAGTAACGTGTAACTGAACACTAGGACATCCATGTCTGTATACAAGACATCACGTCAAGAACTGACATCTAAGTAGTCATAATTATCTTCTTTATCTCTTAAGAGTGTTTGTTTTAAACTCATATCAGAATGATCCCTACATTGATCGTGAACCCTTGATATAATTTTAAAAAAACAAAACATTTTCATTTGTTATGGCAAATTTTTGGATTTAAAAAAAAAAAAAAAAAAGAAGAAAATTCCGAGCACGGCTTGTATTAAAATGTTGGCTGACTTAAGTAAGCTGTGCTGTCCTACCACTTTGTTTGCTCTAGATACCGGTACACGGAAGCTAGAGACATGTGGGCTGAAAAATGCTGAAAACGATAGACAATAAAAGTTTGATTAATCCACCGATCTCGTTGTTATTTATGTTACTGACTCCGAAGGACTGGCTGCCTGTGCGTCCGTCTGTCCATATTTTTATAGAAGTAAACATAATGCTCAGCTCACACGATCAAATTTTTATATGGACGTTTATTCTGTTCATTGTTTCCTTTTGAAACGAGGAAAAATGGGGGGGGGGGGGGGCAAAATGGGAATTTGTACAAAGAGTAATTTGAAAGTTGTGACAAGGCTTCATACAAAAATCGCATCAAAGGCATGATCGAAAATGTGATCGTGTGAACGGAGCATTTTGGACGGATGATAATATTTTGCCTTGTTACATGTCTAGAGTCAGGTGAACGACTTATACGGGAAATCGTAAAGGTAAATGTGCCTGTTTTTCAAGTGTGTGCTTTGTCGTAGATGACGCTTCAACTTCATGTTCACAATGTTGCATTAAATTTATTGTCTCCGAATACCGGACACCGTGAAATTATTGGAGTGTAAATATTTTTTATCATTTTTTTTTTTAAGTTTTTTTAACTAAGAAAAAAATCAAGAATGGTTGATGAAAGAGGAAAAAAATTCACTTGCACAAACAACTTCATTTATAAAATATTATTTAGAATTTTATTCTGAGAAAAATATTTAATGAAGAACAAAAAAAAAAAAAAAAAAAAAAAAAAAAATAAGTTGACATGGCAGGAAAATAAGTTGACATGGCAGGAAAATAAGTTGACATGGCAGGAAAATAAGTTGACATGGCAGGAAAATAAGTTGACATGGCAGGAAAATAAGTTGACATGGCAGGAAAATAAGTTGACATGGCAGGAAAATAAGTTGACATGGCAGGAAAACAGACAACTTTTGTATAAAAACGACATCGAAAGACTTTTCTTTCTTTAAACAAATTGTACAATTTCGGTGTAAACAAACAAGTTATTAACTCATTCTACAGTGCAACAATTGGAAGCCTACTAAATTTCAGTAGTACCTGGTGGAGTGGAAATTCATCGTTTGACACAAAACACTGATTAAGTTGACTAATCAAGAAAGCTAGTAATAGAAAACTCAGAAAATAGAAGTCTATCATTGTAAAACAAAACAAAAAAACAAGTTTTTATGATAACGACCATCCATTAAAGACGTCCACCAATTTTATGATAGGGGCCATCCATTAAAGAAGTCCACCAATTTTATGATAGGGGCCATCCATAAAAGACGCCCACCAATTTTATGATAGGGGCCATCCATAAAAGACATCCACGAATTTTATAATAGGGGCCATCCATTAAAGACGTCCACCAATTTTATGATAGGGGCCATCCATTAAAGACATACACCAATTTTATGATAGGGGCCATCAATTAAAGACGTCCACCAATTTTATGATAGGGGCCATCCATTAAAGACGTCTACCAATTTTATGATAGAGGCCATCCATTAAAGACGCCCACCAATTTTATGATAGGGGCAATCCATTAAAGAGGTCCACCAATTTGATGATAGGGGCCATCCATTAAAGACGTCCACCAATTTTATGATAGGGGCCATCCATTAAAGACGTCCACCAATTTGATGATAGGGGCCATCCATTAAAGACGTCCACCAATTTTATGATAGGGGCCATCCATTAAAGACGTCCACCAATTTTATGATAGGGGCCATCCATTAAAGACGCCCACCAATTTTATGATAGGGGCCATCCATTAAAGACGTCCACCAATTTGATGATAGGGGCCATCCATTAAAGACGTCCACCAATTTTATGATAGGGGCCATCCATTAAAGACGTCCGACAATTTTATGATAGGGGCCATTCATTAAAGAAATCCACCAATTTTATGATAGGGGCCATTCATTAAAGACACCCATCAATTTTATGATAGGAGCCATCCATTAAAGACGTCCACCAATTTTATGATAGGGGCCATCCATTAAAGACGTCCACCAATTTTATGATAGGGGCCATCCATTAAAGACGTCCACCAATTTGATGATAGGCGCCATCCATTAAAGACGTCCACCAATTTTATGCTAGGGGCCATCCATTAAAGACGTCCTACAATTTTATGATAGGGGCCATCCATTAAAGGCGTCCACCAATTTTATGATAGGGGCCATCCATAAAACATGTCCACCAATTTTATGATAGGGGCCATCCATTAAAGACGTCCACCAATTTTATGATAGGGGCCATCCATAAAAGACGTCCACCAATTCTATGATAGGGGCCATACATTAAAGACGCCCCCCAATTTTATGATAGGGGCCATCCATTAAAGACGTCCACCATTTTTATGATAGGGGCCATCCATTAAAGACGTCCACCAATTTGATGATAGGGGCCATCCATTAAAGACGCCCATCAATTTTATGATAGGAGCCATCCATTAAAGACGTCCACCAATTTTATGATAGGGGCCATCCATTAAAATGTCCACCAATTTTATGATAGGGCCATCCATTAAAGACGCCCACCAATTTTATGATAGGGGCCATCCATTAAAGACGTTGACCATTTTTATGATAGGGGCCATCCATTAAAGACGTCCACCAATTTTATTATAGGGGCCATCCCTTAAAGACGTCCACCAATTTTATGATAGGGGCCATCCATTAAAGACGTCCACCATTTTTATGATAGGGGCCATCCATTAAAGACGTCCACCAATTTTATGATAGGGGCAATCCATTAAAGACGTCCACCAATTTTATGATAGGGGCCATCCATAAAAGATGTCCACCAATTTTATAATAGGGGCCATCCATTAAAGACGTCCAACAATTTTATGATAGGGGCCATCCATTAAAATGTCCACCAATTTTATGATAGGGCCATCCATTAAAGACGCCCACCAATTTTATGATAGGGGCCATCCATTAAAGACGTTCGCCATTTTTATGATAGGGGCCATCCATTAAAGACGACCAACCATTTTATGATTGGGGCCATCCATTAAAGACGTCCACCAATTTTTGATCGAGGCCATCCATTAAAGACGTCCACCATTTTTATGATAGGGGCCATCCATTAAAGACGTC